CTTTAAGTGGCAGGTGGTGTGGCAGGATGAAAGCCCAGTTTACTTGCCGTGGCTCAGGACGACCACGGATACTGCTGTGTTCTTTGCAGCCTCAGCTGAAGCCTCCTTCCAGAAATAGTGAGCTTGCTTGGATTTTTCTCATGTTTCCCCACTTCCTGTCCAGTGTCTGAGAAGAGCACTTCCTTTGTACAAGAATCTGAGTCAGCTTCTGGCTCTTCTAACTTTACTTAGTCAAAACGTTTTGTTATAAGCTTTCATTGCATCTTGTTTCTATTTTATACTCAAGGTCAACTACTTGCTCAAAATCTATGTAAACATGGTCCTCACTACTGCATCCTTAGTGTCTAACCTAATTTCAAGCATGTAGATTCCAGACATTATGAATGATTCATGAATGGATTATGAATGAATGAACAAGCGAATTAACCAAAAATGTCAAAACAGACTAGTGAATTAGTGACATATTTGTAATTATTTTTAGGGAAACAATACTTTGTTGCTTTTAGGTAGATAAATGAACACTATTACTTAAAAAAAAAAAGTCTCTTAGGAATATGTTTGCAGGTTTTGACCTTCTGGGCATTTCCCCCCCTCTATTTTTCAACTTTCCTTAGAAAATGGATTCAAAACCTGTGCCAAGTACCAAGTACAGTGGGTACCAAGGTACTGCTAGTAATTTTTCCTCTCATTTTCCAACCATAGTTAAGATGATTTTTACCATGATCAGAATATCTGATTCTTTCAGTTCATTAAGGCACAGCACATGGCGTGAGCCCAATACCACAACCACCACTGCCATCCACAGTAAATACATGTGAAAAAAATGCCTAATTAGTTCTCACAGGGAACTCTTCTTTGGAAGGCACTGACTCTTGGTATGTATCTTACACAATGACACCAGGCTGCTGCATGTAGATTTCTGAATAACTTTAAGGCAGAGAATACAGAGCAGAACACATGAAAGAAGTCATACTTCTCTCTGTTAGACTGCCTAGAGTTTTTACTACCAGATGAAACACATTTGAATACTTTGTTTCTTTTTTTCTTTCTAAGTTTCTTTTCTTGAAACTTCATTAATTTAATACATACCATCAAATATAAATGCCAACATTGAGCTGAGGCATGGAAAAGATGTGTTCGTTATCCATGGGGCTTGCACCATCTTCCCTTTGGTACTAATGGAAGTTTGCTCAAGATAAAATAAATTAGGGTTCCTCCTGTGAATTGAATGTCCTGGAGAAGAAAAGTCAATGTAGACTGTCTAAAAGATAACTTCTTTACAAAAGCTGCATGCCTAAATATTAGATATATTCATACCACTTGAGAAAAGAATGAGAACAATGTTTAGCATTACTCATTATAGGAAGAAGCAATTCAGGGACTTTTTTTTAATCCAGTAACTAATCTCTTACTATATATACAAATTATGTGTGTGTGTGTGTATACACACACATTTGTATAATTTACTCCAGGTAGTCTAATTTCAAAACTATGTTCTTAGCTACTATGCTAGTCAAGACAGCTATACAAATTACAATGGGATAAACAATCATTAGAAAAGCATGTGATTGTCTGCATTAGTCTTTCAACAATGTACATACAGTGAGCACTATCCAGGATTATGTGATAAAAATTTAACATACAAAGATAAACAGGGTTATTGGACACCTCAGTAAAAAAAAAAAAAAATCCACAAATAATTAGCAAAATCTATAGGCCATCTAGGGATAATTCAAAGAAAATATTTACAAGATCTTCATGAATAAAAACATTTGGTTTGACAGAACATATAAGCAAATTGAATAAAGTAATTAATGGCAAACTCTAATAGGATTCAATTCAATTCTAATCAATCTAACTTCCAAGTAGGACTTTCTAGGAAAATTTATATTAATCTTAAAAATCACATGGAAGAGAATCAAAATAAAAACAAAATATCATACATAGTAATGATATACATACATAGTAATTAAGATTTTGATATTGGAAACATATTGGAATTTTGGACACACTATTCTTATGTGACATTCATGCCAACGTCCCTTGTCACCACCTGTGGTTGACCACGACAAAGCCTGTGGTAAACTTAATAATGTATGGCAAATGATAGAAATTGCCACAGTCCATGAGCCTTGGCTCCTCTGTCTTAGAAGAGACTTATCATTCTGTGTGTACTGTCAAGAACACTGAATTTAGGAACTGAGGAAAAACTAAGATATATTGTTAGTAAGTTATATTATCTCTATCCTGCAGGTCAGGAAATAGGCTGTGAAGTCAAATTTTCAGATGTACAACTAATTTTAATCAAATGATAAACTTACCCAAAATCTGCCTCATGAGATCAGATGGACTTTATTCAATGCCGCACTTAGCACAGCATACGTCATATGTTGCTTCCCTTCAAACATGATGATGCTCTCTAACGTCAATTGTATTTACTAATCCCCATCAAAAATATCTCTTCATCTTATAAAGCTGAGCCATATAAAATTTTTTATAATCCAAAGATGGTAAAATATTGAGTTTTATATGGTTCAACCTAAAATATTTTCTTTGTGTAAGAGCATGGTAAAATAATTCAGAAATTAACATGATTTCCTTACTAGACATCCTTGAATTTATTTGGACTATAATTGTTAAGCCAGGTAGGTAAATCCTTTCTAGGAATGAATGGGTTGGGTAGGGGATGAGGCAACAGAAAACTTAGCAATTCCTGCAAACTCCTGCATATATCAAAGATAATGAAATCTTGACATTTTTCCACATATTTCTTGAGTGCTGTCAGCACCAAATCTGTGTATACTTACATGGCAGCAGTAGGCATTCATTTGAACTTTATTGAGCAATCATCTCAATTAGATGTCAACATTTTTACTGGATTTCACAGATGATCTGATTTGTTAAGAGTGGCTGGAGCATGTGCTAGAAAAGGCATTCATTTAAAAAAAATTAGATGTCTCTATCAGCTACAAGGCCAGTAAAATTATTCTGCCAAGTTGAAGAAATTAATCTTTGTGCCATAAACTAATCACAGTTCTCTTATGTGAACAGTTTCCCATAAATTTTAACTGAGCAATTGCGAAATTCAGCCCCTCAGCTGTGCATTTACTACAGTAAGCAAAACGGTATGGTATTAGAATAGAAATTAACAGATGAATGGAGAATAATTGAGATGGATGGACAATAATTGAGATAGCAGAAATACACTCATACTTTATAGGAACAGGTAAATTATCAGGCAGTACGCAAGAGTATACAATGGAGAAAAGGAAGTCTCTTCAATGTATGGTTTTGGAAAAGAGAAGAGTTAAACTTCTCTTGGAAGTTCAAAGTGGATTAAATAGTTGGGTGTTCAAATCTGAAACAATAAGAATGAATAAAAGATAGGCAAAACATTCCAGATCACTGGCTTCAGGGGTGTCTTTAGGGGCACAGCAACAAGGAAAACAAAAGCAAAGATGAAACTATCATTATACTGAAGAAACAACCAATTAAATGAAAGAAAATATCTTTACATCAAATATGCAACAAGGGATTGATAACTAAGAACTCATATAACCCAATAAAAGGAAAACTAATCCAAGGAAGCGCTAAATAAACACCTCCTCAATGACAACATGTAGAAATTCAATAAGCATATGAAAAAATTCATCATAAAGGAAATGCAGGACAAAACTGCAGTAATATACCACTTTATACTTGTAAGAAATACCAATATCAAAAAGACCACTAGTGACATTTTCTTGAGAAACAAGAACCCTCATTCAGAGTTGATGGCATATAGACTGGTCCAGCCCTGCAGAAACCAATAAAACAGTTTCTCCAAATATTACAACTAGATCTACCATATGAGCCAGCAATTCCACTCCTAGGTATGTACCTGAAGAATAAAACACTAAGTCAAAGGTATATACACACTTCGATGTTCGCTGCAGCACTATTTTCATTAGCCACATTGTGGACACTACCTATGTGTCCAACAAGAGGTAAGTGGGTAAAGATGCAGTGCTTCTTTTTTTTTTTTTAAAGATTTATTTATTCATACAGAACTGGGGTACAGGCCAGAGATGCAGAGGGTGAGAGTATTCACCAGGGACAGAGTGGGGAGCATATGGACGAAGTACACTGCTGAGGGGAGCAGCGGGCGGGTCAGGAGAGGTCTGCCTTGCCATGTGGCTCTCCTCCGGGGCAGATGGGGATCGAACTCATCCGGAAGTGGCTTAAGCTGCTTAGTGCTGTGCTTTAACCCGCTGAGCCACCAGGGAGGGCCCAAGATGCAGTGCTTCTACACAATGAAATAAAGTCAGAAGAGAAAGCTAAGCACTAGTTGATTCCACTTATAAACAATACAAACTATGGGTACAATGGAGTACAGTAGTAGTCAGTGTGTTTTGGTGGTGGTGGTCTTATGTTAGCATACATCTGAAGATGTCACCCTGTCTACCCCTAAGTACATACAGTGTTGTAAACCAGTATCACTTCAATGAAAAATTATAGTTTTAAAAAAAGTTGGAGCTAATGGTAAATGTAAGAAGCTGTACTACAATGTCACTTGCAAGAAACATGTATGTTCTCCAATTTGTGTATGTTAGCTCTCCCTCCATAATATCTAAGTGCTTTAAATACAGAAGCCAGGTTTTGCATTTCTTTAGTATTTTCTCTCTACTATACTTCCTTCTTGTGAAGTTTTAGTGATAAAACAATTGAATTAAGTTGACATTAATCCATAGAAGTAGTGAAGATTTTATATAATTTTATATGATTCTAAGTTTTTAACTATAACATAAATGCTGTGAAATGAGAAATCTCTGATCAAGCCCCTTATTGTGAACATATTTATAAGCATACCATTTTCATATTTAAGATAATTAATCATCTATTACTATATTTACTATCATCATACAGTATCATTATGATATGTAGTGACTATTAGAAATATGTTCAATTTAGGAAGAATAAAGGAAAAAAAAACATTGAGATTAAATAATTTATTACCATTGCTAAGATGAACACATATACTTGATACTTAATTTTATGCAGAACTTTAAAAAAATAGTTTTAATACAGTATCAAAATGTACACAAGATTTTTGTCAAAAGACCAGTGTTCCTTGTATTACCTTCTGCAGGCTCTACTGCAGGCACAAAAACTTGTTTTAATTGTCTCAGAGTGTAGGAATACAACAATTTAAGGATAAAAGGTTTTCTATGTGAGAAGGTGTAAATATAGCAAGCAATTTTCTTTTACAGAGTAACAGTATTTCAAAAATATATAACATATTAAAAGTAAGATGAGTTTAAATGGTAACCCAATTATGGTAATGAGAGATAATTCTATAGTAAATTAATTCATAAATATTTTCCGAAAATAGAGGATGAAGTTTTCTTCACACGAACATTTTAAAAGTATAACAAAATCCTTCACCAGTGGCAATTAATACAGTCTAATGAGCCCATTTGAAAACAACAACAATAGAATATCTGCTATGAAGCAAATCTAATTCAGAAGAAATCTAAAAACTGGGAATTGTTGCATTCCTACTTTTATAATCTTAAACTACAGTAAAAACATAGCATTCTGTCACAGGCCTCTTGCACATTCATACAGGAAAACTATCATTGCATTTGGATAAACACAAAATACCGATCATAGCATTTCCAATACACACAGCCTAATATTATATTTAGATATACCAAAATAAGAAATAAACTAAGCAAAGCTAGCGCACCTCTTTTTCAAACCTCAAGCAATCTGAACAAGAGCTTTTTAGCCTCAATAATGGACATGCGGCGTCAGTTTCAGAAAACATTAAATAACTGCTATAGGCAAAGAAAGCTTTTTTCATAAATGCAGTGCAATATTTTAAATTTTACACAAAGATTATTTAATGTAACAGCATGTCTAGAAACTAAACTGTAGAAACTGACATCTCATAGCTGGATTCACTTAGGAAAATTATGTTAACTTGTTCTTAAATTGAAATTGTTAATATTAACATCAATGAATATACTGAATTAATAGAGGTTGATATGTCCCCAAAATGTGTCTCCATGAACAATACATCAACATTAAAAGAAATGATATACTTATCTTGATCAGTTGACATACATGGTACTCTGATGAGCATTCTACAAAGTCTTACTACCTTTCTAGCTGGTAAGAATTTGTGATTTTTTTTTTAGCACCTCAAAAGTAACAAAAACACAAAACCAGAAACTTAATCTTACCTGGCATCCAAAATAATTATGCTTCAGGAACTAGTATGTGGTTGCCTAAAATATAAGAAGTAGGTGCCTAATTCTCAAACTTGGGAAGTAAGAAGACACCTTTTCTTATCTTCAATAGAACATGGTAGAAAACTACCACCATTATATGCAGTGAGTCAACTCTACCGAAACCACTGAGGCTCTACTAGATTCTCCCAATCATGCAGGTTTTCCAATAATCTTAGATCTGAGGAATGAACAATGTTATTGTTCTAATGAAAACAGTGGTACTAAAATGGTGATTTCAAAGCTATCTTGTCTGACTGCTGTGGACACCAAAGTGAGACACACAAAATACAGAGTTAGTTATACTAAAGGACTTAGAGGGAAAAGGATGCAGTGAACCATTGCTCCATGTTAGTCCAGATTAGTCCACCTTTGTGGAACCCACTCTTCTCCTCTCTGGCAGTGGTGATCGCATGTTTGAAAAGAGAGTGCTTGTCTTACATTGGTCCTTTGTACTGGTTTCCAGACAAATGTTGTCTAATTCCAGGACAGGAACCTGCAGCATCGCCAAGTTTCCTCCACACAACCTTAATCAAAAGAAAAAAGAAAGAAAAAAAGGCATCTTAATTGTCCCTTCCACTGGGTGATCTGAGGTTTTCTAAGGGGAATATAGGAAAGGAGCAACACAAACTTCGAAGACAAGAGACAGTATCCACACAAATGAGCTCCCACACAAACAAAATAAAATGTGATGCAAGCTTCTAAATCACAAAAGATTCTGATGGGACTAGTAAACTTTGTGAGCCATCAGGGTCAAAGAATGATTTGTCAATTTAGTAACATGTGGGTTGACAAATCTGGCCACACACAAGATACTTGGAGAGCTCATTAATAGTAATTCTGACCCTTGAATGTTGACCGTATTGTTGAAGGTTAAGCATGGGTATCTGTTCCAAGAACTCCCAAGCATAATTTCTAATATGTAGCCAGATTAAGAAACCTTAAGCAAAATGATTCTGGTTTCCAAATTCTATGCCTAGAAAGAGGAAACTTAAATGTTTAATCCACTAAGGAAAATAATGGATATTTAAAGAATAAGGTGGTAATTATAAGGCCTCTATAAATTATTATCCCCCCTCCTTTTTTGTTTCTTTCTACAGACATGACATAGTGGCTCGGTCATCATAAGTCTTGGTTTCCAAACAGTATACTGCCTTGGATTCCAAAAACAAAGTATTCAAGTGCAGGAAAAGAATAAATCCAACAATCACTGAAAAAAGTCATGTATATTAAAAATTGGGCCCTTTGAGCAGCATCAGCAAAAGGTAAGGTGAACGATTCTACTTTTACACTTACTTTCTTTTTTCTTTTTTACTTACATTATTCTTAATCTCCACAGTGATATATCAGTATGTTAATAGAACACAGATACATGAACAGCCAAAGCCCTACAAGAGTAGTTCACCGAAAGGATTATGTTCAGATTGATAAATCCCACAAAAATGCACAGTGTTCTAAGATGAACTCCAAACCATTTTGGCTCATTAATTGATATTGTTCTTTATTTTATTTTATTTTATTTTAAATAGATCAAGAAAACCCAAAGCTCTTTACTGATACTGATATGTGACAATGTAAGCTTCTGACTATATTCCTAAACCAATCTGTTTTTCCAGCAATGTCCTGTCACGTTCCTGTCATGAATTCTAGCTATGGTTCTTTTAGCTTTGTAAAGTAATGGTGCAATGGTAGATGACTCACCTTGTACAGAGGAGGTAGGTAAGTTGTGGAGAGATACAAATACTGAGTCAGGGAGCCAAGCAAGCTCCTAACTTTCCCTCTCTAGTCAAGTGGACTATACACTCACACCTACACAGAATGCTTTGAAATTCTAGTTTATAAGCTAAGACGACTGTAAGACCTCAAAAGATCATATACAAGCGTTAATGCTTACAGTGAGTGCACCTCCCATAAAGTATTCAGATGTAGAATACATGCAGTGGGTGTTTGCCCTGAAATGACTGCGTGGTGCAAAGAAACTCTTAGAGAAGGCAGAACAGCAACAAATGATACAAAGGTGAACAGCAGTGACTGTTCAGTGAGAGAGAGAGAGGTGTGTTATGACTTGTGGCTAAGATGACAAGTCGAATATGTCAACTGTTCTTAGGGATTTATAAGAGACAAACAAATACATCTAAACCAAAATCACTTCCATAAAGAGGTAGATATACTGTTTCTGAGAGAGCAGGGTAGGAAAAGAATAAAGCACTCCATGTTTCTAGCCCATGGGTGGAGCTGTGAAAGAGAAGCCTTTCATTATATAGATGACACCAACATATCCCTTTGACTACTGCAAACTGAGGCCACAGTTGTATTATCCTGAATTCTACCTGAGTCTTGTAACACTTTCTCACAATATAACATTGTTTCTATTTCTGTGACATGGTAAAGTACTTGATTTCTCTATGGGTTGCATAATCATTTCATCTATAAAGCTTTCACAATGTGTGGTATTTTTCTCTATGTTTTTGATGTTCATATTATTTATAATGATAGTACAAATATTTGAGATCAACACTTTCCTCTTAGCTTTTGAATAATTTCCAACACAGAAGTGTTAAAAGTCAGAGTTGGGCTGCCCTGTAGTATTTTCTTTTTATTTTGGGAATCAAGGACAAAATTTGATAGTTAGAAAAAGTGCCCAAGAGAACTTCTGAAAGTAAATAAAGAGGAAAGCTTTTAACTTCATGAAGTAATCATATATAGGAAGAAAACAATACCACTGCATAGTGCCTTTTGAAGCATTTTTTTTTTTGAGGCACAGGCAAACCAAAAGACCAATATAAAATGAGTTAGGACACAGCTTATTAGTGGGGTCACTAATGTGACTAAGAAATGACTTTTCAATGTCCACAAATCTGTCATTAAAGAAAAGTAAAGTGATCCTGGCATTTCTTTACAGAAATTCTGGTGTTAGCATGATGAGATGGCATCCTCTCTAAGATGTAATGATAGCGCCTCTCTACCTAGGAAAGAAAATGGAATTCTCCTAATTTATCACATTTAGAGAAGTGGAAAGAGCTGGTTTTCTAGAGATATAGGTATATGCTTGACTTCATTGAGAACGATTTGAATAAGTAAATTAATTTCAGTGTCATCGTTTCTTTAAACACAGAATACCTAATATTAGGGTTCTGACCTAGGGAGGCTTTCGCAAATCACCCAGGGCCTGGGGTGAGACCTCGACATGTGGATTAGAAAGGCACTTCACATACTACTCTGCAGAAGTCACCCTCCAGTTCCCCAGAGTCGCCTCTGGCTCTCTCATCCTAACGTCTGAACGGTATTCCTCACTCAGTAGGTGAGTTAACAAGATGATATATGCATTTCAAATTCTGAATTTATCTGATTGGAACACGCAAATGGAAACTTTTCTAGACAAGGTTGAAAATCTACAGAAAGTAAAAACAGATGTATTTAAAACATTAATATCAAACACTAATGATCTTTAATACAGACAAAACACAGATCCACGAAAAGAAAAACAGTTAACTTGGAGAGGATTGAAAATCAAAAGTTCAACACAAAGGAAGCAAGAGACAAACTTTTGCCCAGCACATATAAAATACCCATGGGGCTTATGTAACATTTACTGGATTCCAGGAACATTTCAAGGAGTTGATAAGTATCTGAGAATATCTGGTCCTAATAGCCTAAGGCTTGAGGGTATTTTGAGCAATTTTGATATCCTAATGGATAAAGAATGAAGATAAAATGTAAAACAAATTTAAAATAAGTGCTTACTAATAGCCTGTCAGGTATTTTGCTTTAAACAAACTTCTTCTACAACACTATTTAGCTATTTAATAAGCTTTACAAATTATATTCTTAATTAGATGATACATGTATGCATCATATTCAAAAATTTACATTTAGGGATTAGTAATAAAATCCAAGCTACATCAATGATCACATAGGCCATGCAGCATGTAAACAGCGCTTTGACTTTCTCTATGCTTCTCTGCGACTTCATAGAGGTCGATATGTGGAAATCTACCTATCTTAAGTTCCTATTTATAATATGCCCCCTTCCTATTTTCTGAACTTATATTTACCGTAACATGAAATAATACATATGTATGAAGCACTAAGTAAATTGCATATTAAGATGTTTTACCTAAAAATGATTACCAGTAAATCTGAAGCCAACTACCTTTTTATCAGATGTTAACGCTGACATTTAAGAATTTTTTTATCAAAACTTCTAAAACATTTTAGAAAAATTTAGACTTTCATCAATCATCCTGGAATATAGAATTAATCATCATATTGCAAATTACTTAGGTAAAGAATAATTATGTTAATAAAACTGCAATAAAATATATTAAGGATAGTAACAAGGGGAATTCATTTTCATAAGAAAATGTAAACTCATTTTGGTCAGCATTTAAAAACTCAGTAACTAAGTCATAAAGAGGTAACTAAGCTGTGATGAAGCTTTCAACACAGAATACACAATAAAGCACATTAAACTTACATTGCACATTTCTCTGACTATAGCTTTTTCTGTCTCACTAAGGTCATGTTCATACTCTTTACCCTGTTGACGATCTATAGTTTCCTGAACATCCAAGACCTGGATTTGTTGAAAAAGAAAAGCAAATTTCACATGGGGGAAAAAAAAAACTTGTTAGTTAAGAATAAAACCATCAAGGAGTGCCACTTTGTAAAGCTTTCTACTTTGTAAAGTTTTCTCCATGTCTGCATATCAGAGTGGATTAGTATATGGCAAAATCTTAAAACTTACGTTGATTGTTCTGAAACCCATCTAGGATCAGTGCTACTTGATTCAAGTATTCATTAAACACAATCTGTGATATCATTGATTGTCAACTGCATTCATTAATGTCTAATTAGGCACATTTAGTTAGTCAAGACATTAAGATAACCATATGAAGCTAGTCAATGATATTTGAGCCATTGTAATAGATGAGCGGTCTAATTATATGCCAAATTGTCCACATGATATGTAGACATGGCCAATAGCAAGGATGACTGAAAAAAAATGATAGTGATAGGGGAATCTTGTCAGAAGCCAGGAATATGTACATATAGGTTAACATGAATACTACTGACCTCATAGTTCTGGCCTGGACATATTCCCAATGCCTAGGAAAGGACTGTGGAAACAGCTCATTGAGAGTAGTGGTTCCTTAGAGTGAAAATATTTTAGTAACAGTTTAAATATTTTCCATTAGAGCAAAGTATATGGGGATGAGGGGCTGTTAATTTTAGATGCCTATGGTTGAACTTTTCTAAATCATACTTGAATGTATTAAAAGAATAATATTCCTTTCCAGATATCATTAAACTTTTCATGTCAATACTTTCTATAGTACAAAAGGGAGAAAAATTTGAGCTTTGTGGACTGTTATTTTATTTTTCTCCTCATCAGTTTATAAAGTCTTAATGTAACATAACAAACCAATGCTTTTCTTAATAAGTTCTTCATCTCTGGTTCTGCTATCATTATGGCCAATGTTGATGGCCACACCTCAGGATTTGTATTAATGAATAGCTGACCCAA